TTCTTACTTTTTTGCACTTGTTTAAGTCTTGTAGCCATGATAGTGGCGCTGTTGTTGCAATCATTCATGACGTCTTAAGTCAGCTCTCAACCATTGCACCAGAGGTGCATACCGTATATCTGCGTCAAGATAATGCAGGGTGCTACCACTCTGCATTAACTCTGCTTTCTCTGCCAACGATAGAGAGATCAACTGGAATTCAAATCAGACGTATCGATTTTTCCGATCCCCAAGGGGGGGAAGGGAGCGTGCGACCGAAAGGCAGCTCATATTAAAAATCACATGAATAAATACCTGAATTCAGGGAACGATATCGAAAATCCCGAGCAAATGAAGGCAGCAATCGAGTCCTTTGAAGGCATCCCAGGAGTGAAAGTAACAGTGTGCGCTCTACCACCTGGTGTCAAGGGAATGGCAGGGGAATGGGATGGTGTGAGCTCATTAACAACAGAGTACCTCAACGAGTCCATGACGGTGTGGATTGCATACAATAATGGTCCAGGCAAAGTCCTTCCTTTAACCAATTTCTGTCGACCCCCAACGGTACCAAAACTTATCCATAGCGAGGAAACCGAGGACACAGTATCATTCGTCGCAGTGAAAGCAAGACAACAACCAAAGAAATCTCGCGAACAAAATAATACTGATCCAATGGAAGACGAAAGCAATGATGAAAGAGTCGACACGTACAGCAAATTATTTCTCTGTCCTGAACAAGGCTGCATTAAATCATTCCACAGGTACTCTTCTCTAGAAAGACCTTTGCATTGTGACAACCATACCTACGTACTAGAGCATGAAACCCTTTATGACAAGGCTATGAAGCTATATGCAACAAAACTGGAAGAAGGATCCAGTAAAAACCCGATACCAACGGAGTCAGGGAGCGTCGAGTTGCCAGGGCCAGATATTGGCCCTGAACTTCAGATGGGCTGGGCTTTGAGAACTTCCTCCAAGGGAAAGCGGTTTTCCGATGTTCAGAAGAAGTACCTGGTTGACGTGTTTAATGCTGGAGAGCAAACAGGGCGAAAAGCCGATCCAGGTGATGTGTCAACAGCAATGAGATCTACAAGAAACAGCGACGGCTCGCGACTTTTTAACACCGCAGCAGATTGCAAGTTTCTTCTCACGATTGGCGAAAAAAAAGAAGGGAAAATACAGCGGGCGATAAAGATAATGAAGAAAGGGGAGATGGTGATGACAATGACTACGAGGAAGACGATTTAAATAAGAAAGATTTCGAAAAGAGAAAAGGACAAGAAATCGAAGAATTATCAGCTTCCTTGATTGACGCAATTGGCCTGAAGCATCCAATAATGTTCGATAGGCACAATATTTGTGAATTAACAAGTCAAAGAAAACTTTCCAAATTCTCTGTTTACATGCTACAAGAAATTTGTTCTTCATTCGAACTTAATATTACTGACAGCACTGGCAAGCGCAAATTCAAAAAACCGTACATTGATTTGCTAGAAAAACTGGTTCAAAGTTGCGGTTGCTGAACTAGATTACAATGATATGGCGTCAAAGGTAAACACGTCAGAATATTCTATTATTTAAAGAGGATCATCTTTATACTAATATTAGTAAACCCTCGATAACGTATCCGGAATGATAAGCATAAAAGACGAGCAGCTGAAAAGGACAGGAAATTTTGAAAATGTCAATGAATTACGTCCGGTTTGTTTATTACACATAAAATATTCGTTTTGTCGAAATGACTCGTATAAAATGTGAGTTTGACGATAGATAGAAATAGACACCAATATTATGCACTTACTAGTAGACACTATATGGGTCAATCGATGGATTTTAAAAAGGGAATTTAACATAGTTTGTGATTAGTCAGTTCCTTTTACAATGTAGAACATTCAGTTTGTTCTTAATTTAAAATACAAACACTGAGCCGCTTTTATAAACGCTACATATGTACACAATATATAAATTGATTGATCTTGCCGACAGGCAAAATTTGTAAATTTCTTACAACTTTGGGGATGCGCTGCATCACGAAAAATAATTTCCCCAAGAAAATTGTAAACGATTCACAAAATACACCATTTAAAGGCAATTATGGGTTGTTTTATAGTAAAAAAAATTTCGTCGCACATGGAAAAATATTAGTTTACTTTGAACATATTTTGAGAGAGATTTTCTATGTGTTCCAAAAATAACTTCAATAAAAATCAAAACCTCGAACAATAATGGCTGAAACTCTACCTGTTGCATATTAAGATAGCAATTAACATCCCGTGAGATTACTACAGCGCTGGGTTATTTTGTTTCGCCCCGAGAAGTTGTTGAAGTTAACCTAAATTATCGGCTCAAAATTAGCGAATTTAATTCGAAAAGTATTTTCTGCGATTTTATCGAATACTAAGCCGTATTTCACCAAGCAAACTGCACAGTGGTATTTCTTACATTAGGGCCTATATATAGTTAAAATATGAGCGGAATCGATTTCTCGACCGTTGCCGCGAATTTGCTAAAATATCCGATTTTTGCTGACATCCACTCTTAAAAACCCAACAAATTTTCCATCCATTAACTCAAAATACGATTAAAGCTTTTAAATTTCGTGTGCAAGCCATTTTTAGTTTGTAGGAAAAGACACCCCCCCCCCCTGGTTCACAAAATTTGAGTTCGAGAAATTGTTTTCATTATTCTACCTTATAAGTACCCAAAGAAGCTATATACATAAAAACTACTGTAGATACTAATGGCTGTTTTGCGAAATTGAGAGCAATTTCAAATCTGTTCAGTTTTTTTTATACACCCTGTATTACTTACATAAAATATGAATGTCATTTGGCCTCCCCGGGTAACTGGGGTATCTCTAGTACTTTGGATTACAGTACATAAACAATTAGTGAGTGTCACAATCTAAATAGTTAATATGGAAAAGATTTTGTTATAGTTTTAATATTTAGTTATAAATAGTTAATGTAGAACACTACTTTTCTATTGTACAGTACATTAAAAAGATCAACATTTTAATCTAACTGTAAGACCGGTTATAACTAGGTCTTTCACATTTATATTATTCGGTCTTTCATGAACACATTCAACCTGCAATCCTGGTCAAAACATTGACGACACTTATAATTATTTCATCATATTTATGAGCATCGGAACTAAATTAAACAACCCCCCTTTCCCCAACCGATCAATGTTGAATGGTCTCCCATAACATGTTTAAAACATTTAGCATAGACTCAAAATTGTTTAGGGGGCAGGGGGAGGGGGGTATTCAATATGAAAACGTAGACGTTTTATAATTTGGAATGTCAAAGATGACAAATTTATTAGAGTGTAGTCAATGGTTTTGACCAGGATTGTGGCTATCATGGCTATCAACAATCTTTACATTCAACTTGGCTATCGTCTCTATTAAATGGAACATGCCACATTTCACCTCATGAAAATATTCTTAGGCGTAAAAAAAATACCTGTGGTTCCGGTTTCATATTGTGAAAAAATTAGGGTTGGTAGGTCGGAAATAAATTTTTTTTTTAATATTTTTTTCATGGTAATATTTTTTACGCCTTACCATTGCACTCATAAACATTCATTATTATATGTATTATTATATGTATTTATGGCATATTCATATACTTAATTGTTATATTGCACATAAACAACTTGTTTTAGCTTTTTGTACCTGATATATTTAAACATTAGTGCACAGCATACAACTCGTTACAATTGGAGGAAATTGCACAAAACACTTTTGTAGTTTATGGTGTTTTCATGTCAGGTTTTACTATTGAGGGGGTTATTGAGGGGTGTGGAAGTCCATTTAGGGCTGGTTAAATGAGAAAATCCAGAGGGGTGGCAGGAAAATTCCATCCAATAGGGTGTACATTAGAGTTTATCATTGGGGGGTGGTAGCACGACCCCTCAATAGGGGGGTGGGGGTGCCTATATTAAATCATAGTTAATAGAGGAGTGGTAGTAGAGGAAATAGAGGGATCATAGTTAAATGGAATGGCCATAGTTAAATGGAATGGCCCATTCTAGTTTGTTGTCGTTATATGCACCTATCAATGTAAACCCCGTGAGGGGGGGGAGGCTGGGGCAGTATAGGGGGTTTGATCATAAAATTCATCCCCTCCCTGGGACATTTTCTAACCTGCCCGATCCCCAGGATGGGGCGGTTTGAATTTCGCCCAGCCTGCTCGCAGGTTGAATTCTGCCCAGCCTGCTCGCAGGTTATTTATGCGCATGAGCAGTGATGCGCAAAACTAATAAATCTAGCGTGGTCCTCTAGCCTGAGCATAGTCCCTTACTCTGTGGCGTAGTCGACAAAATTTAAATATTTGGAAAGGTTTTAGTCACTTTTTACAGTGTTTTTATGTATTGTATAAAAGGTAAGTTTAAATTTGATATCTGAAAAGGTAAGTTTAAATTAGAAAATAGCGTAGCGTTGTAGCATTGCCTCCAGTGTGAACGG